GGGTTCCACATCTACCCAGGGAACTGGAGGGGAAAATAAGCAAACTGAAGAAAATTAATTCTGACCTATTTTATGCATTCTGTATAAATGCATGAAATAGATTATGTTTGACAGTGGTAAACAGAGAACCCAAAAAAAATCCAATTTATCACTTTAATTATGTATGCTTTTCTTCCTCAATCTCCAGGGGAAAATGAGCCTCCAGCAGTTTCCAGCCCCGTCTGTGAGCCATTCTCTGGTTTCTAAGGCTGCTGTTGGTAACCACAGGCTCTAGTCAAGGGTGTCCTCTCTGAAACACACTGAAAAATTTTTAACATGCCACTAGGAAAATATGTAATGGGTAAGTATAAAATTAAAAGCGAGGACATAGAGGTGGAGCATGGAGCTGTGATACAAGAAAAACAGCATGAATTAAGTTGAATTCCCTCCAAAGAAATGGATGATCTCTCCCTGTCACTAAGGAAAATGTAAAGGCACTGAGTTATTTGGTTACTAGGCTAACCCAAGTGTCAATCAACCACCTTTAGGTACATAAATCTCACACTTAAATCCATTTATTAATTGATAGGATTGAACTTAGGGGCACTCTGCCACTGAGCCATATCCCCAGCCCTTTTTATTTTTTTATTTTGAAACAGGCTCTCACTAAGTTGTTTAGGACCTCACTAAGTTACTGAGGCTGGCTTCGAACTTATGATCCTCCTGCCTCAGCCACTGCACCCAGCTGGGATTCATGGGATTTGAGGTGGTACAGATGAAAATGCTTAGCGAGAGAACAGAGTAGAAAGAGAAAGGGCCTGGGACCAGGGTCTGCAGCACTCCTCCAAAGTCCCTAGAGGAGGGAGGTTGAGCCTGCAGAGGAACGTGAAAAGAATTACCAAGAAAGGAAGGAAAAGGGGCCAGGGCTGCGGCTCAGTGGTAGAGCACTTACCTGGCATGCGTGAGGCACTGGGTTCGATCCCTGGCACCACATAGAAGTAAAAAAGTACATTGGCACGCTGGAACACGAAGGAAAGACGAATCGGAACTGGTTGAGGTAAGTGAGAGAAGAGTTGCTTTGTGCTTTAATTGGATGGAACTGGGCGAGGCTTGAAGTGTGGCCCCACCTAGCTGCTCTGAGAACTGAGCAGATCAATAATCTTATAACACCTGTAACCATCTATGGCACAGAAATGCAGATTGGCTCGGAATGGGGGCTCACTGTGGCTGTGGAATCAAGGGAAGAGTTGCTGGCTTGGTTTGATTGATTCTAAAATGAAAAAGACTTGACATCTTTCAGAAGCCGCTATGAAAAAGATCCAGTTGAAATGGAGTGATTGAATTCATGGGAGAGAAAATGGTAGAATAGTATTGGGAGTATAAAGCTTATTAGAAGGTGCAATAGAATCCACCAGGCATGGTGGCACACTCCTGTAATCCCAGCGGCTTGGGAGGCTGAGGCAGGAGGATTGTGAGTTCAGAAACCAGCCTCAGCAATGGCGAGGCACTAAGCAGCTAAGCAACTCAGTGAGATCCTGTCTCTAAATAAAACACATAAAAGCACTGAGGATGTGGCTCAGTGGTCAACTGCCCCTGAGTTCAATCCCCAGTACCAAAAAATAAATAAATAAAAAGGTGCAGGGAATGTAGTTCAGTGGTTAAGCACCCCTGGGTTCAATCCCTTGTACCAAGTTTTTTTAAAAAAGTATTAAAGAATTCAATTTCAGGTGGAGCAATGGACGTAAAAGGCACTGTGTTTGCAAAAACGTAATCCTCTCCACAATACTAAAGTGGGTGTCATTTATTGTCATGTTAACAAATTTAAAATCTGAAGTTTAGTGAGATTCAGTCACTGCCCCAGGTACCCCACTCGGCAAGCAGCATAAAAAGGACTGCAATCCACATTTTTTCTGATTCTATCAGAAAATTCCTATCAATTATTACTTTGATGTATCTCGAACCTCATATTGTGCTCACCGTGGGGACACAAAGATGGATTACACTTGGTCCTTGACTTTGAAAAGACCACAGACTAGAAGTAGAGAAAGACAATAAAACAAATACCATGCAGTGTGATAAATAGAATAATGGAGACATGGGGGAATGCTTTAAGGAGCACAAAGACTATAATGTGCACGTCGTTTCCTCAACTCGTGGAGGCAGGGATGGATGGGCATAGAGAAGAGATTGTTTTTTTTTTTTTTAAAGTTAATTGGATGGAAGAAAGGTTGGATGGATGGTTGAATGGATGATTGTGTGAATAGGGAAAGAACTTTCAGTATTAATTGATTCCCTCCTTGGGGCAACTGTTGTCCATGTAGCCACAAGAGGGCGCTATAGACCTGACACAAAGTTTTCCCATTGACACCAGGTTAGAAGGAAGGGTGGGGACAGAGGGAATGAGGGTGGTGACCACAGGCTTCAGATTCCTGCTCCTGCAGACCAAGCCCAGAGTTTTGTTTTTCACCCTACCCCCTCATCTTTCAAGCTCCTGAGCTAAGTTCTAGGCTTTGGGTAGATTTCTCCAATTTGTTCTCTTTCCAGCCTATCTCAGAAATAGTCCAAGGTCTTTCTTAGGACCTGGACTGTGGGTGAGCAATGTGGCTCCAATCCCAGCAGGCTGAACAGCGGAGTGCCCTCCCACAAATTACCTCATCTTTCTGGGCCTCACCAATACAAGCTCAGGTTGGGAGGGAGGGTCTGGTGGTGTGTGACTTCCTGACTCCCTCTTCCTTAGGAGGATAGCGAACCTTCCTCAAGCACTTCCTATTTGCCTGCCATTGCTCTAAGACTGTGGTAGCTAAGAATGTAACCACTAGCCACATGAAAATGATAAATTCAAATTAAATTAAACAAAAAAAATTCAGTTCCTCGTGGAGCTGGAGCGTACCTCAGTGGTAAAACACTTGCCTAACGTGTACAAGGCCCTGGTTCCCATCTTTGACACTGTCAAAAAAAAATAATAAAAATTTCCTTGGTCTTGGTAGCCAAGTTCAAGGGCTCAATAGCTACCTGAAGCCAAGAGCTACTGAAATGGACAGCCCAGAGAGCATCTTCATCATCAGAGAGTTCTACCAGAGAGCACAAAGTGCTTCTCACATTCTTAGCCCATTTTACCTTCCTTACAACAATGCAGTATGTTTATTTATCCACTCTAGAGATAAGGACCCTGAGGCCCAGAAAGCTTTAAAAAATAAACTTAGCCAAGGTCTCTAAGCCGATTAGTATCCAGAACAAGGATTCAAGCTCAAGTGGTTGGCTCAATGCCCACCATGTGGCTTCTATGCCCAGAGCTGCCCCAACCCCAAATCTTGTGTGCTCCCCTTACCTCCTGAGAATTGGGATGACTTCTCTCATTGCCCAACAGCCATTGTTCCTCACAGTCACTGCCCTGACTCTCACCCTGAATAATGAGGGCGCAGAGCTTCAAGCCTCTGCTGGTTGAGACCTTGTGCTATGGTCCTCCCACCTCCTTAAATAGCCCCCTCAGCTCCCTTAGAATATCAGCATTATTGCTTGGGTTTCCCCCCACCCCCCTAATTCTTGATTCAATGTCAGCCTGGGTTCTGGAAGATTCCTAACCTGGGCAGCAGTCCCCGCTGCTACTTCCCAGGGTCATTGTCATCCCCAAGGGTGAATGCAGTCACCTCTGAATGTGCAGCAGCGTCTCACTTCACAAGGGGTAGAGTAAAAGCCAGGCTGCAGTTCACACGCTCAGCTGCAGAACCCAGTGACTATAGAAGCAAACTGGGAAGGAATGTCTGCGAATCTGTGTGCAAACCACCGCTGGTGTTTGGTGTTTGCAAGCTAGACCTTTCATGGTCACACACACACACACCCCACTCCCCCACCCCGTCTTCTGCCACAGTTGCTACCCTGTAGGGCCTCCACTTCACCCACTGGGCCTGAAGCAGAACAAAGTTATCACTCAAATCTAAGAGATCTGTTGGCAAGAGACTGACAGAAGAAAAGAAATCGATGCTGCCATCTCTAGGTAAGAGGATGGGATTCCTATCCCGTTCCTTACTGCTTTACCTCTCTCCTGAGCATCTGAATCCCTAAAGAATGTTTCCCACACCCATCGAGTTCAGAATCTAGGGCAAGAAAACAGAGAATTTGCCCCCACTATTCCTGCCTTCAGCAATAAGCATGTCTATAATTGTTTCCTAAATATATGGAACTTCCCACTTAAAGGTTTTTTCCAGGAAAAACTTTACCATCATAAAGTTCTCCCTGGTACTAACCAGACTCCTCTATTTCACCTTAAACTCAAAATGTTCTATCTTCTATCCTCAAAGAAGATGGAGATGTATGACCTCCTTCTCGGTAAGGAACCATTGAGCCATTGAGTAGTTTATATTTTTTATCTATTATCAACAATGCTGCTCTGAACACTCTGTGCATGTCTTTTTTTTTTTTTTTTTTTTTATTGGGAGGTACAGTAGTGGGGACTGAACCCAGGGCCTTGCAAATGCCAGGCAAGTACTCTACTACTGAACTAAATCTCCAGTCCTGGTGCGTGTCTTTTGATTCCCACATTAATGCATTTCTGCTCCATTTATGGTCAGGAAAATGCTGGGTCATCAGGTATCCAGATGTTTAGGCCATTTTCCAAAGTGACTGTGACGATTTGGGGGTCTATGATGACGGGGAGTGCGTGGTGGGGAAAGGTGCTCACGGTAGTCCTTCACTGCTAGACCAGCTCCTCTGGTCACCTGCATGACTGACTGGCACAGGGAGAAGTGGAAAGAAGAGACAGACATGGATCTGAGAGAATGGATTTGATTCTTCAGACTGGGCCCAAGAACAAAGTCAGACCCTCCTTCCCCCCAACCTTCTGCCACCAACACAAAGAAACAATGTAAGCAGAAAAGGGTCAATTTGAAGAGGGCTTTGGATACTAGGCACACACAGCTTCTTTTTTTTTTTTTTTTTTTTTTTTTTTTTGTACCAGGGATGGCTGGAAAACAGAGAAGAGCATCCCACAATCCCCTTTAAGGGCATCCCCCGCAATGATCAATGACTTCCCACTAGGCCCCCCACTAAAGGTTCCACTACCTCCCCGTAGCACCACAGGCTGCAGACCAAGCCTTTAATCCTTGGGCCTTTGGGGTATTCCAGATCCAAGTATCGTAAAGCGGGACCTCAGAAAGCTAGAGGATTCTTGACAGAAGAGAGTAGGCTATTTCAGAGTTTCCAGTACTGTGCTGTCTCCCAAGCCAAGAGTGGCTAAGACCAAATTCCAGCAGTCTCGGGATCTTTCCAACAGGGACATCCCCCTGTCACATCTCATCTGGTTCCCTGATATGAGGTTTCTGAAGTCAGGAAAGTGTAGGGAAGCACTTATTAGTTATTTACCTGACTCCTGCATGCCTTGTGTTCAAGAAAATCAGTTTATGTCATACACTTCAACCAAAGAAAATACCACTGTGAGCTTTTCAAATTTCTTCCCCACTTCCTCTATTAAGACTATCAAGCTGCGATACCACCCAGGTTAGAAGGGCCACCCACTCACCCTGGGCCTGAGAGCTAAGTGCTCTCCACCCATTTTCTCACACCACCCCCCATCCCCTGCCGTCTGACCTGCACTTCCTGCTCCGCAACAAGACAGGCAACCATGCTGCTCTGGACCACTGCGCTGTTCTTGGGTAAGTCACTGTACGTGGGCATCCCCTCCTGGGCACTGAGGACTGAAAGTCATTCCTAAGACACAAAGTTCTCGATCTTTCATTTCTCGATTCAAATGAGTTTGCAGTAGAAACTTGAAAAAAAGGTGCATACGTGCCAGGTTGCTTGGGGTAGATGGGCCTAGGCCCTGGGGACTCCTAGGTGTTTCCTGTCCCATCTTCATGGATCCTTGGCAGAGATGAATTAAGGAGGCAGAAAATCACATTCTGAGGTCCACTTGTTTCACCTGGTTTTTATCCGGTAAAATCAGGTTAAAATATTCATCAGGGTTATGTCAAAAGGCAGGAGAAGTAAGAAAGGAAAGGAAGTTGCGGGATGGGGTGGGAGGCATTGGTGGAGAGATCAGAGAAATGGTGAAATAAGTTCCATGCATTTTGTTCAACAATGGGAGATGAGATTTTACAGGGTAACATAAATGTCTCTGCTTTATTTAGTCCCATTTAGCAATGGCCAGACTTCTAACTTGGTCAAAAAGTTGGTGTGCCAGCCAGGCATGGTGGCACATGCCTGTGATCCCAGCAGCTCAGGAGGCTGAGGCAGAAGGATCACGATTTCAAAGCCAGCCTCAGCCAAAGTGAGGCACTAAGCAACTCAGTGAGACCCTCTTTCTAAAGAAAATACATAAAAGCACTGGGGATGGGACTCAGTGGTCAAGTGCCCATGAGTTCAATCCCTGGTACCAAAAAAAAAGGGCTTGTGGGCCAAGTATCCAATGCCCTTTTCCAATTGACCCTTCCCTTTCTGCTTATGTCCTTTCTCTGTGTTGGTGGCAGAGGGTTGGAGGGTGCGGGTCTGACTTGTTCTTGGGCCCAGTTTGAAGAATCAAATCCATTCTCTCAGATCCATGTCTGTCTCTTCTTTCCACTTCTCCCTGTGCCAGTCAGTCATGCAGGTGACTAGAGAAGCTGGTCTAGGAGTGAAGGACTACAGTGGGGAGGGTCTCTGGTCTCCCCCAACTGCAGCCAGATCATCACACTACACATAAAAGACAAATTGTTCATTTATTTTTTTTTTTTCCATTGATAGTTTCTGAATTGGCCTGCTTTTTAAAAACTTGGTTCCAATGGTTTGCTTGTTTATTTGCTGTGTTTACATGGATCCAGAAGTGCAAAGCTATTCCTAAATATGAGCTCTTCCTGACAGAGTTTCTGAGAATTTAAGCCTGAGAGGAAAATGCCTATTCCGCCCACTGTTCTTCCCTCTCTGCCTCTTCAACATCACTGTGCTGCTCTCCGCATTCTATGAATGGCTATTTGGATGCATGAAAATGGCTAACGCTCAGGCAGCTACAGGATAGCCCAGTACCTGGGTACAATCCAATGGAAGGTTTCCAAGGGCAAGTTGCATGACCTTGTAAAAGGAACAGCCCTTGGGCTGGAGTTATAGCTCAGAGGTAGATCACTTGCCTAGCATGCACAAGGTCCTGGGTTCAATCCCCAGAAACACACAAACACACCAAGTAAAAGAATAGAAAACAGTTTTTGAATTTATCTAGATAAAAGAATAAAAAACCTTTTTTGGACTTATCTAGATAAAGTCCAAGAATGACCAGCTGACTAGCTCACACTGTAATGGAGAACCAAGCACAATCTGTTCACACTTGATGCCCAGAGACCCCCAAAAAACAGTCTAAGTTATGTAACACAAGGCTGGACCTGTTAGGAACCGTTGCTGTAACTGCAAAGCCGCTATTTCCTCTCGGATGTGGATAGAAAGGGAAAAAAAGGAAAAAAAAATGTCTACTTTGTAGTGCATGCATTTCATCTAACCTTCAGAACTTCGTAGGGCAGTTATTTTTAACCTATTAAACAGTGAAGGAAACTGAGGTCCAAAATGCTTAATAATTACCCGGCAAACAAGAACAAAACAGTCCCCAAGTGCATCTGATCTCAAACCCCATACTTTCTCCATTCCACCAATTACTCTACCTGTGGCCTAGAAGTAGTTGGATTCTAATCAGAAAAAATGAGAAAATACTAATTCATTTAATCCACCTGGCAGGGTGTGGTCACAATAATTGATGGTTATTACTGTTCTTGGCTATCAGGAATCCAGGAGGCTTGGGGCCCTGACATGGAACATGCTGGTTCATGGCCAAACATTAAATCTATAAACTTTGGGAGATGGGCCTTATTTTCTTCTGAGCCAAGCATGAGACAGCTTTCCTCCCCTACCGGAGCCCACCTCCCATGTACTCACAGAGAATCCATGGCAGGGGTCATGGGGCCTCCACACAATCCTTGCAGCAACATGGAAGTCACCTAGCAAAAAAATAAAAAGCATGTTCCACCATGGCAGAACTCAATCATTAAATAGTTCTTCACGTGAAGCTAAAATCTGCTGCCCTGATCCCTCTAATTTCTGTTAGCCTCATTTCTGTCCTATGAAGTAACTCAGAAATAAACTTGGCTCACCAAATGAATAAAGACCACTATTGTGTCCCTACTCTATTACATCTTCTCCAGATTAGTATCTCCCAGCCCCTCAGCAACTCCTAACAAGTAACAATTCCTAGACCCCTTTCCTCATCCTGCCTTGTCTTGACATGCTTTCTCAGTGTGCAGGAGCTGGACTTTCTTCTCCCTCCCATAGTGGACTAATAATGCAGAGCTTAGGAGGCTACTGCCTCCACCGTTTGAGACTCTGAAATGCAACAATAGCTCTTGACCACTTTATCACACTGTCACCTTACCTATCAGTCATTAGCTTAGATTCCCACACCTTCTTCATAGGAACTACTATGAGCAGATATGTTAGTCAGCTTTTGTTCTGGCCAAAATACCTGACAAGAATTACTTAGAGTGGTCTCAGTCCATGACCAGCCGACACCATTGTTCTTGGTCTGAAGTGAGTCAGAACATCATGGCGGAAGGACAGGGCAAAGGTGCCACTCAGCTCATGACAGCCGGGAAACAGAAAGTGAGGAGCCAGGGACAACACATCCAAGGGCACACCCCCAGGGACTTACTTCCTCCAGTTATGCTTCACCTGCCTATAGTTACTCCCCAGTCGATCATTCAACTGTTAATGAATTAATCCAGCGAATGGATTTATCCACTGATGAGGTCAGAATCCTCATCATCTGAAAGCCCCACCTCTGAACATTGCGGAACTGGAGATCATGTTTCCAAAGCATGAGCATCTCAGGGGACATTCCAGATCCAAATCACAGCAGCACACACCATCCACTCTCTATGTTCCTAGTTGGCTGCTGGCTTGATTACAGAAAGCAATGCTGCCATCACAACTCCAAGGTCCTGCAGTACCATGAGGCAGCAAGTCATCAGGATTCAAACGAGCTCATCTGAAGTGGCTCTATGCTCTCTGGTTACCTTCTTTCTTGTTATAGGCTTTGGTAACCTCAACCCTGTTTTTGCAGCACTTTGCAGCTGCAAAATTGTTTTCCGAAGAGGAAGGGAAAATGGGGGAGTCATAACTACAGAATAAGTCCTCAGTCACTCTGAGTTCAGCCTCCTTTCTGCTTTTCAATAATGTTACAACCATTTTCACAGGCAGTGGGTCACGGCAACCTTCACAACCGTCCTATAAGAAAAAAGAATTATCATTCCCATTACATATGATTTGACAGACCAGGAATGGGAGGCTCTTGGAATTTAAACTTGTTGGTGGGGGAGGAAGTGGGTGCTGGGGATTGAACCTAGGGGTACTTTATTACTGAGCTACATCCCCAGCCCTGTTTGTTTGTTTAGTGGTTCTGGGAACTGAGCCCAAGGGGTGCTTCACCACTGAGCTACACCCCCACCTCTTTTTTTTTTTTTTTGAGATAGAGTCTCTCTAAGTTGCCTAAGCTGTCCTCAAATTTGCAGTCTTCCTGCCTTAGCCTTCCAAGTTCCTGAGATTACAGGCATGCATCATTAAGCCCAGCAGAATTTAGACAATTTGTCCAAGGTCGCACAAAAAGAGGCAGATTCATGAGTTCAGCCTATGTCATCTGCTTCCAAATGCATGATTTCTACTACAACAAGAAAAAAGAGACATCCAGTTCTATATAGGAACTGACACTAAACTGAATTAAAAAATCAAGTTAAAGGGCTCCATCTGTATTCAAAATAGTGTGGACAGCATGAGTGGTAGCATAGTGATAGTGGGTTTAAGATACCCCTTCCAAGACCATTCTTGCATTTCTCAGTGTCCTAGGGCCTTGGAGAACCTAAGACATGTCAGCAATGAAAGACACAAATAGACTTCACTTAGCCCCACAATTATTCATTGTTTCATCCCTTGTCCCAAAGTCTGGCTTTCTTTCCAACTATGTCCCTCAATTTGGGGTCCTCCATCCCTTGAGTTATTCATACCCATCTTACTGTAATCTGTCCTCTTATAACTTAGCCTCTCTTCCCAGATCATCTATTCTCCTCAAACACGCAGGCCTTTAGGACAGGCATGGTGGAGCATACCTGTAGTCCCAGTGACTCAGATGGCTGAGGCAGGAAGATCACAAGTTCAAGACCAACCTTAGCAACTTAGAAAAGTCCTCAGCAACTTAGTAAGACCCTGTCTCAAAGTTTAAAAAAAAAATAAAATAAAGAGGACTGGCATTATGGCTCAATGGTAAAGCACCCCTAGATACCCAGTACCCACAGCGCACGTGCACGTGCACACACACACACACACACAAAATTAGGCATTTGAAACACTAATACAGTGTTCAAGGTACAAGCATGGTCTGAGATACATCTAGGTCATTTGTAGTTCTCTCATTTATCTGAGCTGCCTGACCATGTCCCACATCTTTAATGATTGCTCCTTCAGAGAACCTTCCTCCTCAATCTGATCGCTTCCACACTCTTTCCCAGAGCTCTGTGGACTTATTGGGGAAATGGGATCTGGCCTTGGCATATGGGTTCTAGTTCTATATGCATAGGCCCTTCTGCCCCTTAGTGCAAGAGTCTAGTGCTATATGTTCTACTTTTTTGATCCCTATCCCACACAACTGGTCACAAAGGAGAGAATTCATGCATTTATTTGACAAATGCTTACAGAATACAGATGATGTTCCAAAAAAAGGTCCTGGGCATGAGGAACATGAAGATAAGCAAAGTCCCTTCTCACATTCTAGACAGAGGAAGATAGGTGATAACATGCTGGCAACTTAACCAAGAAAACCAATTCAAATACTGATAAGCACTCTGACGACAGTACAATGGCACATCATCACAGTGACCGGGGAGAACGATTTTGACTGTGGTCCCAGGGAAGACCTGTCTGAACAGGCAACATTTGAACTGAGATAGGGCAGAGAAATTCAGGGAGTGGACTCATCATAAACAGTGATTGGTTAAATGTCTTGGGTGGGTGAGTGGTTGGGTGGCTAGCTGGGTGACTGGGTGTCTGGGTGACTGGGCGGTAAGTGATTGGGTGGCTTAGTTGTTGGGTGTCTGAGTAGTTGGGTGGCAGCATGACGAGGTGTTAGGGTGGCTTGTTGGCTTAGTGACTGGGTGATCTGGTGGCTGTGTGCCTAGGTGGCTTGATGGCTGGGTGTCTGGGTAGCTAGATAGCTGGATGGCTTAGTGGTTGGGTGGTTCAGTAGTTAGTTGGGTGGTTGATTGACTATGGACATAAGCAACCAATGAAGTAGAGGCCTCCCAGTATGAAAACTCTGATATTTAATCAAATTTTATCATTTTTCCCTCTAGCAGTTTCCTGTGTTGGAAATAATGGTAAGTCTTACCCACGTCTTTTCTGACCCCACATATGTCTCTGACCCAACACTTAATGAATGAAGATGGTGCAATTAGGTCCCCCAGCAGCAACGCAGAGCAGCACCACATTAGGTCCCTTCTTCGGGATTCTTGGATAGTGTTCAGAGTGAGAAGAAACCTGACTCCATGGGCCAATGTTAAGGGAAGCCCTATGGCAACTTGAATCTCAACAGAGGGCTCTGAATCTCCTTCCTAGTCCCTTAAAAGTGGCTCTGGCCTCTCTCTCTCTCTCTCTCTCTCCTCTCAGTGTGACTCTGAAACTCCTGTATTCTCTACTCAACAAGACATGACTCCCTTCTCTCCTTTTTATATTAAGAGAAGTGGGCACTTACGTCCATCCATCCATCTTCCCTGCCCTCCAGCCCATCCTGTCCCAAGGGCCTCCATGGCATTTTATGTCAAACAGGAAAAAAAAATGACCCATGAACATCTTGACCTACAAGGGCATGTTCTGTGGTTCAGGGGAGAGACTTCAAACTGATACTTGGAGCTGATAGAAAGAGGAGTAGTGGGGAAGCAGGGCCCATCCTTTAGGAACGCTGTGAACATCCCTACTTTGCTCCTGGGGTGGGAACAAGGGGTCCTAAGCATCCAGGGAAATCCAGGCCAAAGCAAGATGTGCTGGGGCTCACCTCAGGACCCCCTGTTTGATCACTCATCATTACTCTCAGGCCATTAGTCCTGGTTCCTAAGACCGTCTGGGACTAGTGGGTATCTGGCCTGATAAAGAGGGACAGCCTGCGGACAGGCCCAGCCTAGTATGTACTGCAGATGATGCCTGATCCCTCATCTTCTCTTGTCCGTGTCAGGCCACAGAATGTATTCTAATAAGAAAAGCAGAGAGAATAAATCTCTTCCATGACTGCTGGAAGATGAAGCCCCCTCCTGAGGATGGGCCTGGGGAAGCCTGACCAGGAAAGCAGGAGGGAGAAAACCCAGGCCATAGCACCTCTAGCACCCCACGCCACCAGCTCCTCTCTGGTGGGCAGGGATGCAGCTCTTACCAGCCGTGAAGGCTGCAGAAAGTGTCACATTGGGGCAGCTGGGGACTAAAAAGCCAATCAAAGGAAGTCGAGATTGAGACAGAAGTTCTGAGGCAAGACAATGGGTGACTGAGCCAAACTTTTCAAGGTGGTAGAGGAGAATGCAACACGCAAGGAGAGAAAGAGTGTGGGAAGGAAGAAAACCAGAGAGAGGAGAAAGGGGAGGGAGAAAGGAGAAGAATAAAGAAAGGCAAGAGGAAGGAGAGAAGAAGAAAAAGACGTCAAGGTCCTGCCGGGTCTGCTCTGGCCGGACTGGAGAACCGAGAGCTAGCAAGGGCAGGGAGGTCTTAGCTGGGGATGAAGGGGGGGAAAATGGGCTGACGGACTGCAGCCCCAGGGATGACCCTGTGCCTGTGTCTCCCAGTCTGGCTGGACCTTCAGTTCCTGCCGGACCCTGTATTTGAAGGCGAGGTCTTGACTCTGAAATGCCAGGGATGGATGCACACACAGCTGTCCCAGGTGACGTTCTACAAAGATGGAAAACCCCTCAATTGCTCTAAGAACCACCAAGTTTGCTTCATAGAGACAGCAACAGTGAAAAACAGCGGCCAGTATAGCTGCAAAGGACAGAAGACGTATACCACACGCTGGCTCACGTACACCTCAGAGGCCATCAGGGTTCAAGTCCAAGGTGAGTCACCACCTCAGAGGGGTTGGCGGGGCAGTAGGATGCTGCTCAGGGATCCAGTCTCTAGAGGTCAGTAGCCCTCTGGGCAGGACTCCTCTCTCTGACACCCCCTGATGTGGGGCCAATGCTTGGGGTCCCAAGGGTTCATGATGGTGTCTAAATGTCCTCCTCACCCCCACGGGCCATGTCTGGAGCCAGGGGAAGGAGGGTGAATTGGAAAGAGGCCTGGCCCCGCTTAGTCCCTCGTTCTTTTTCTCTGTGGACCAGATGACTGCTAAGGGGCCTTCTGGCTCTGACTCCTGGGACTCCAGAGGGCTTGCTTGGCTATGTGGGAGTTGTTCCAGAGCTTGTGGGTGGGGACAAGAAGACAGGTCCTGGGGATGGAACTGTCTCCCTTGTGGGTCAAGGTGCTGCAGCCTGAGCTCAGTCCTTGGCCTCCTAAGCCTCATTGTCCAGGACTCCCCTCCTGAGCCCTGGGCCTGTGTCTTCCCAGAGCTGTTCCTGCCTCCTGTGCTGAGTGCCATCCCCTCTCCTGAACTTGGTGAGGACAGCCCATTGACCCTGAGATGTCAGACAAAGCCGCATCCCCAGAAGTCCACCTGGCAGCTCTTCTTCTCCTTCCATAAGAATGGCCACATCTTGCAGGAAAGGAGTCTCCACCCAGAGCTCTCCGTCCCAGAAGTCAAGGAGAGAGACTCTGGGCTTTACTGGTGTAAGGTGGCCCTTGAGGGTCACAGGGTCCAGAAACAGAGTCCTCCGCTGGAGATCAAGGTGCAGGGTAAATGGGTGAGGGAAGGGGCGACAGTCCCCAGGGTTCCAGGCGTCAGGCAACAGGACCCCTTGGGAGTGGGGGAGGGTCCCACGGGAGGAGGGGCCCTGAAATCTGTCAGGCTGACTTTTCTACCCCATGTGCTGTCCCAGCTCCTGTGTCTCGTCCTCTGCTCACTCTGCAACCCAGGGCTGCTGGCCTTGCTGTGGGGGACGTGGTGGAGCTCCTCTGTAAGGCTGAAAGGGGCTCCCCTCCCATCCTGTACTCGTTCTATCTCAATGGGGAGATCCTGGGGAACTACTCAGCTCTTCACGGGGAAGCCGCCCCCCTTCGCTTCCTATTGAAGTCAGAGCAGGACGCTGGGAACTACACCTGTGAGGCTGAGAACATTATCTCCAGAGCCAGCAGTAGGCCTGTAAAGCTCTCTATGAATGGTACGTTTTGTCCCCAAACCAGGCTCTGAGCCCCAGAAACCTGGCAAGAGTCTGATCACACTCTTCTGTGCACTTCCGATCACACCCAACACAATGATGGGCTCAGGGCAGGCTCTGCATGACTGAGATGAGCCCCAACAGAAGGAACTGTCCACTGAACCTGGCAGGGAGTGGGGGACCTTGTTTGGCAGGGGGTGGGGGAGGTTATATGGTCACCCATGACACTACCTGATTATACAGGTATCCTCTGAGCCATCCTTCATTCCCCTCCCAAGGCTCCCCGGGACCATATGTTTCCCCTAAAGTCAATCATTCTGCCTCTTTCTGTGCCAGTCTGGATTGCATTTCTGAAATTCATCCTCAATGCTCGCGGTCACCTCTCCTCCCTCCTCCCCCAGGTTCTCAAGACATGTCTACCTTTATCAGCAGCAACCAGCTGGTTGCCTGGCTCCTTGCATGTGTGCTTGGCCTGATGGTCATTGCTGCTGGACTTCTAGCTTGTTTCAGACCTTGGAGGAAAGCTGGTTAGTAACTCCTTGGGTTTTCTGCATGGCTGAATCCCTAGGCCAGGCACTGCCCAGCCTTTGAGGAGCCAGCACTTGACAAGATCAGACACTCTCTTGTCTTGAGTGTTGGGTGGGAGGAGGGATTTCTCTTCCCATGTCATACAAAAGAGCACATGGAGGGACACATACAGCATCCAGAACATACGCACACACACACACACACACTCTATCTCACATGCCCACAGGCATACAGAGAGGCACCATACACACGGTTGCACATTAGCATGAACAGAAGCACAGATGAAGGGATTCTTCCAAGCCAAATGTGATGTATATCCCTGTCCTTCGCATTAAAAAAATATATATTTGTGGTCATAAATATGACTGAAAAGAAACCAAGGCCTCCAACTCTCTCATTAAACTCAGCAGAGCTCTGGTGAGCTAATAGAGCAGAATGAAAAATGAGATCTACAGTGCATATGTGCTCTCTCTCTCTCTCTCTCTCTCACACACACACACACACACACACACACACACCTTGAATAGTGTTGTTCATGAATATTGACTCATCTAAAATGAAACATGACAGAGAGGACCGAGCGAAGGCCTGGTCCCAACACGGCTGTTTACTAGTTCCGTAGCCTTAGGCCAGTTCATTCTAAGACTCACTAAACCGTCTTCCTCTCAGGGATGTTGTAAAGATGTAAGTTAATGAGACAAGGTGCATCTCCTGCCTAACGTGTTTGATTGGCAGGTAGCGGGTGCTCAGCAAGTTCTCGTTCCAGTCCGAGCAGTGGACCCCAGCAGGTTCCACAGGCTGCCTTTCTCCTGCTGTTCGTTTTCTAGTTCCTCTAATCCAATTCACTAAAAATCAAAGGCTTTGTTAAAATTCTGACACTGGGGATTCTATAGAGAAGGAGTGAAAATAATCAGAGACGTGGAATTCAGAGGTCACCTATTAATTTTGGTATCCCAGATTCCTCTTCTTCCTGTCCTGGTGATGATAATGAAGCCTGTGACGAGCATTGGCTTTCAGAAGAGTCACTTTGGATGACTACATGTTTATCCCAACTCGTCCACGTTCACTTCAGGTCACATTTAAAGGAATAGGTATCAGTGCCAGAGATGTTCGGTGCCAGTGTGTTCCTAGGGCTTTACCTCTGCCTACAGGGGTTCAAATCAACTCTACTTCCTCCTCCACTGGGGCAATGTTCCTATTTTCTACTTGTCTAGGGCAAAGCGAAAGCTCTCATAGACCTCCAAAGCTAGATTTACTTATTCAAGCGTTCAGCTCCCACTGTTAAGATATGAGTGAGAAGTTGTCTCAGAGCAGAGCCACCCAAGGTGATCAAGGAATAGCACCCAGTCATTAATCCAAAGCTGTCCTTGACCGTCAACCAAGTTATCTGCAAGGTGCTCTCCCCAGCCCCAGTCTCTCGCCTTAGCAGTTAGGGTTTGAGCTATCCTTCAATTTCCTCTCTCCTTTTTAATGTTCTCATCAGTTCACAGTTTTTACCCACCCAACAGCAGGAGAAAGGGCACTCCTTCCCACTAGTCTTAAGTCTGCAGGCTAGATTTGCTTTCAGGTATCTCTATAAGGTAGGAGAAGGTGGAGACAGACCCAGAACTGGGTGGGGAGACTGCTGGACCAAGGGACCACAAACTAAAGATCTGTGAGTCCCACCATCCCTGCCTCTGTAAGAAAGCCTCCCCAACAGCCCAGCCTGGCCTCAGTAACACAGGCATTTCTGTCCACTTATCTCTGGAGCAGAGTACTAAAGGCAGGTAACATATACAGCCACCTCCCTCCCCAGCCCCAGACAAGACAGTGGGGGAGCAGACACGCTCCATTTTACAAAGGGACCCATCCCTCATGCAAAAGGACTCCTGGTGGTGCTCCTGATATCTCAGATTCTCAGGAACACAAAATACACTTTAGAACATTACTCCAAAAGCCACTTTCAGCCCCAACTCCACAGCCACACAAGAAAAAAAAAAAAACAGTCATTTTAACAGCTTTATTCTTCATACCCTCCTCTACAAGACTCTCAGCTATTTCCAGATAGCATATCCATTGCTCAACAACAAAAGCCACAAACAAAACATCCAAAGGACTGAAGGCAGTTTTTCCAAAACATATTGACCGATGATGGTGTCATTGTCACGTACGAGTACACTTCAAAGCAGCATTCACCCACATGTTCAAGTTTGGGGTGTTTGTTTAAAAGTGTTCATTTTACTACTTGTCACACCTCCCATAAAACAGAGTTCCATACACTTCATGGAACTCTTCATTGGAGGGAGACTCAGAATCACAGCCCTGGCAAATGAGCATTAAGGGAAGTTTAATAACCAGGGCCCCGTCTGAGTCGCCATAAATGCCCTCTTGGTTTTACAGGAGGGACCTTTTCCACAGGTCCTACCTGGTGACTGTGGTGCCTTCTTGATGTTAGAGCTAATGAGCACGTCTCGGGCGCTAGGCATAAACCAAGTGTTCTGGAATCCACAGGTGACACAGTTCCTGCCCTAGCAGTTAATTTTCCATTCTGGAAACATCTACTCTCTAAAGGCAGAATGCCAGGGGAGAAAAAAGCATACAGACCTAGCTTCTGATTTCCCCAATGACTGTGACCTTGAAGAAGTCACCTGTGTCAGCCTCAGTCACCTCATCTATCAAATGGAGATAACAGTATCCACCTTTGTGAGATGATTATAAACAATACCAAGCATCAAAGAATTAGTAAGGGAGACTTTTGGAAGTCCAACTATGTGCTGGTCACTGGGTGAAGTGCTTTAGTATGAAGGAGACATTTTACATGACATTCCCAGTCCAGGGTCTGGCACATAGTATGTGGTCAACGTTATTAGCTTTTCCTCCTTCCCAAAATCAGCCTAGCTTGTGGGTCTGGGCCCTTTCTGTACAAGGGTGTGACCCATTCTTTCTGACCCTACTTCCTCCAGTTGGTGATTCCCATGGAGCCATCCTACCCTCTAGGGTATTTTTCAAAAGAAACATCCCATAAAAATCAATCATGTCCAGACCTGTGAATTAAGCCTCATAAACAAGCCAGCCGCAGGCCTCGGGCAGCTCCACCACCATCCTTCTCACAGACTTTCTGTCCCCACTCTTGCACCTGCTCTGTGAGGGAGGCTCAGGAAATTGTGCCTGTGTGTCTCCTAGGGACCCTTCGATCCCGGAATCTACCCTCAGCTCCAGGAGGAGAGCAGTGCCCGCTGTATGCAAATGGTAAGGACGTCTAGCAGGACCACCATCTGTCCACCAAGTGGAGAAGGCCCTCTTGTTGATGTAGGAGGTCTCCCTGAGCCCAGAATTTTCCAGAATCGGAGTCATCTGGGAAAGGAAGATGACAGCTTCAAGGGAGAGTTTGAGGAACGAGTGATGTGGAGCTGGTGATGGGAGAGGGAGGCAGAAAGGGAGCCAGGACTCCAGGGAAGAAGGCAAGGAGGGTTTAGACCAAAGGTCAGCAAACCACAGCCCATGGACCAAACCTGGCCTGCTGCCTGTTTTTGTAAATATAAAGTTTTATTAGAACACAGCCACATTCATTTTTTCTTACATATTTTATAAAGCTACTATCACACTATAAAGTTGAATAATTGCAATAGAAAAGATACAACCTAGGCTGGGCTTGTAGCTCAGTGGTTGAGCGCTTGCCTCGCATGCATGAGGCGTTGGGTTCAATCCTCAGCACCACATAAAAATAAATAAATAAATAAAAGATATTTAAAAAAAGAAAGAAAGAAAAGATACAACCCACAAAGCCTAAAACATTTACTGTTTTTTCATATAAATGTTTGTCAACCTTTGGTTTAAACAGGCTAGGAAAACTGCTAAAGTCTGTTGAGGCGGGCAGGCACCTGACAGGATGAATACCCCCACATTACTAATAGATCTCCACAGCTAGTTATCACCAGGACAAAGCCCCTGACTGGATTCCCTCTGTAAGTGTCTTCAAGACACTCACGGCTGGAGGTGGGAGAGTCAAATAAATCCCGTTGAAACTTCCTTCCTTCTTCCAGTACATTACCAGAAAGACAAAGGTGAAAATGTTACCTACTCTCTGGCGCATACAAAGAGGAAAGAAGGTGAGTGTACTGTGGCCAAGCTTGGAAGTCCTGGGACTAGGATGCAAGTGTGTAATTATTCCCATTACCACCACCAGTACTACTGTTACCAACACCACCTCACTAACCACCACCATCCCCTTATTCATTACCACCATCACCATGACCACCAGCACAATCATCATCACCACCAGTTTTGCTACCATCATCAATATTACCATAACCACCACCAGCCTGTCCTTCACTATCGCCATCACTACCACTTTCCATCAGGACTACCATCAATCCCTCCCTCACTACCACCAGCGTCACTTTCATCACCATCACGACCATCTTCATCACCATCACAACCACCACAAACTCCTTCACTACAATCATCCCCTACAAACCACCACTCTAATAAGTCACGTAAACTCTCCGAGTCTAATCTATAAAATGAGGACAATGTCTAAAGACTACTAGAAGTTGTTAGGAATAGAACCTGGGTTGTAGAAGTCAATCTTAAAAACTGGCATGTAACAGATGTTCAAAGCCAGGAAATTGTTTGTTGTTGTTGTTGTTGTTGTTAATTGCTCACCTGTTCTAATATTTCGATTCCTGGTCTATAAAAATGGTTGGACTCAGCCTCTCCTTCCCATGAAGGAGACTGCGGGGAATGGACAGCCAAGGTGTCTCAACTCAGGGATAATTCTCCAGAACCTGGCTGGTTACTGCCCAAAGCATTGCCAGAGCATGAGAAGCAAACACAGACCCAGTTCTTTCCTGATAAGAGTTACAATGAGCCAGGCATGGTGGTGTATGCCTGTAATCCCAGCAGCTCAGGAGGCTGAGGCAGAAAGATTGCAAGTTCAAAGCCAGCCTCAGCAACTTAGCGAGGCACTTATCAACTCAGCAAGACCCTGTCTGTAAGTAAAATATAAAAAAGGGCTGGGGATGTGGCTCAGTGGTCCAGTACCCTGGGTTCAATCCTCAGTACCAAAAAAAAGAGTTACAATAAGGACCTAAACATAAGAAAGAAAAAGGAACCCCCCAAATATATGGTTTTCATTGGCAAATTAAGGAAAATCGGACCACTTTTAACCCTAATAGGAAAACAAAGGGTAAAGGCATGATTTGAGGGCTAAGGTGGGGTTGATGATCGGCTTCCAATTCATGCCTCCCCTAGATAGGCTTCCTTGATGTGTGGGATTTGAAACTTAAAATAAGGAGAGGATATTATATTCTGCCACAGTCTGGCTGGGCACAAATGCCGCAGTCTGGCTGGGCACACAATCACGAGCCACCACACAGCTTGTAGATTCAAACAGCAACTCTTTATTCCCGAACTCACACCAGCCGTCTACAATCACGTTCTGGGGAAATCCACGTTCTCTTCCCAAATCCACCTTCTCTCCCAAATTCACCTCCACTGGGCTTCTATCTCCAAAATATACTGTCTGAATCCCGTGAGAACTCAAGGGGAACTCAGGCAGCAGGATACGCCCTATTCCCAGCAGGAATAATCTTAAACCTTAAACCTGGAACCTAAACTGGGAACGCCCTAAACAAGATTATCTTAAAACCGGGAACACCCTAATCTGCCTTGGTCCTTGAGCAAGGTTAAGTACATTCAATGTCACTGCAACATGGGGTACGCTGGCAAGGAAATTGTCATACTTACTTGGCTAATGGCTCCCAGCAATATTCCAGGATGATTAGGAAATATGCCACAGGATCTCTTATCAATGAGAGGATCTTTGTAGTTTGTAAAGACTCACTCTGTACCTACAGTTCCTAATTCAACCAAAAGTGACAGATTTCTCATCCTAATATGAAAATGAATTCATAATCCCTACTTTGCAAGATTAACGTGAGGTTCCATATAATAAATATGATCTTCATACTTCAAAGGTTGCCAGTTATACAGTAGGAGTCTAACATGGTGGTTATTTTAAAGGCATTTTTAAACTTTCATCTCTTTTGAGTCTCATTATAACCACTGGCCATCCTGAGGAAGTTATTATTAACTTTTGTTGTTGGTGGTGGTGGTGTTGGCCTGGGGCCACACAATTGGTGAGGGTCAGATTAGGACTAGAACCCACGTCTCCCAATCCCTACCTAGTTCTGTCTGTTGTCATATTGAGTATAAGTTAAAAATGTGATCTCCTGGGCTGGGTTTATGCTGTCTGGAGGAAGAGAGATGGCATGGAGGAGGTGGGGAGGAGATGCGTTTCTGAGCATGGGTGCCCTGACCTGAGTTCCTCTGTCCCCCACAGCCAGGCCTGTGGAAAAGTTCACCTCACAGAGGTGAGGCAGATGGATCCCTGCTCTTTCCCTGCCCTCTGTCTTACATCTGCTTCCTCATCCTGATCCAGCACTCCCACAGGACAATTCTATCTACCCAGAGATGACACACTCTCAGTCCAATAAACGTCCTGCAAAGTATTGAATCCAAGAAGCAAGACACACCAAGATCTCTTCGGTGACTGCAAGGATGTTCTCTACCAGTGATGGCATCCCCTCCCCCCAGCCTATACCCATACACAGCCTCCAGTGCTCCCCGCGCGGTCAGTGGTCTGTAGTAGGTCCTCTAGTTCCTGAGTCCAGCAATGAAAGAGTCCCTGGGCCCTAATACTGGTCAGAAACTCCTGAACTGTGGGCTCCCCTCTCAACAGAAGGCCATCAATGGTGTGGGAAGGGACATCCCCTCCAGTACACACATTTAGGTTGCAGAAGTGACACTGGACACAGCCACAGATGTCTTATTTCCACACAAGTGAAAAAGTTTCCTGAAAGAGAGAAATATTATATACAGAGAGAGAGAGAGAGAGAGAGAGAGAGAGAGAGAGAGAGAGAGAGAATGCTCGAGCATGAATTCGTCTTGACCCTGAAAGGAAAAAGCATCAATCTCCACATCCCAGAAGACTGGTCCTGGGGCAGGCAGCTCTGTAATGAATTTTAAGCTGCTGCCAAGAACCATGAGTGACCACAAAGCTAAGGAGCCTCTCCGAGGTTCAGCAAGACCAAGGTCAGCCAGGAAAGTTTCTGGCCCAGATACATCATAGAATTCTTGACAACGGGGCCCAGAGCCCTCCAGGTACCAAGGACTCTGCCTTTACCTGCAGCCCCATTTCTGTTCCTAGCCCTTCCAGTTCACCAAAGACAGAACTGAGGCTGGCCCAGAGCCCCTGTGTGAGCCCCTTACTGGTTTAAAGAGATACGTGGTTGTAAAATCCATTCTGTTAATAGAAATATATCAATTCATTTTGTATTGTTCATCATTATCCGTCGTTTGCAATGCCTGACAGTGTGGTTTGGTTTGTTCAAGGAGTTCGCACTTCTTGATTCCTGAGAGTGGTCAAGGGTTAGTTACACTTGTTCCTGCAAGGCCCTGGCCTGGCTTCATAGGCTCCTGCTGTTGGAATTGCAGAAAGCAAAGTTCATCTTACAGATGGAGACTACACCAGACCCCCACCTTCACTGCCTGTGAAGGAGGCATCAACTTTATCAGAGAGCTCTGGGCTCTTACATCTGAGCTACTAACTCCGTGTCCCTGGGACAATCAGCATTGACATCACCTGGGAGCTAATTAGGAAGGCAGCCACCCAGATCTCCTGAATGGGAATCTGCATTGCAACAAGATCTCTAGGTGATGTGCATGCAGATTAACAAGATAGATTCTGGAAGTACATCCACTCACTCATCTTTGGGTGCTAAATTACCTGTGGTTCTATTCCAAATGAAGACAGAGAGACTTAGAGCTAGTAAGACAACCCATTTTTTTTTTACTTCTATCTCCTTTCCTCCCTCCCTCCTCCCACTCCATCCTCTCAACATCTTCATCTTTCTCTTCCTCATCCTCCTCCCTATCTCTCTCTCGTTGCCTGTCCAGAACACACTCCCCTTTTTGAACAATCAGAGATCCTGCTGGGAGGACAGAGGAGCACAAGCCAGATAATCTAGAAGCACAGGGTCTTCGTGGGTCAGCTGGAATGCACCCACAGAACCCCAAGCCTTTGCCACACCCTCTATGGAAGAATCAACCCCTTATAAAAAGCCCAAAAGGAGCACATGTCAGGTCATGAAGGGAGACACTGATGATGGGGAGCAGGAAGGAACCAGCCCTTCCAGTTGACCCATAGACCACAGACCACCTCCATCCCGAGGTGTCTTTCCTTTCCCCACCCTGCCCCCAAACAGTAGCACTACACAATATGTGACCCCCAAACTGGTACCAGTCTGTAAATTGCTTTTTTACTAGTCCAGGACAAGATAAGCAGAAAAATTACAGCAAGAATTTAGAAACTTTTATAGCAATCTGACAGAGTAATTTTATGTTTGTTTAACACAATCATAAAAAATTAGGGCTCGTCTTTTGTATGCATGTCTTTTTTTTATTTCATTTTTCTAGTAATTTGCTTTTATTGTATTCTACAAAAAGTATAGGTCCACAATGGATTGGAAATATAAAAGAAAAACGGGTTCTTCAGCGCAGATGGGTCAGAAGCCCTATCTACACACCCACTCACACATCTCTTATTCTCTCGCACACACACTCCCCTGACCTGGCTGCCCAGGCACTTGCTCTCTCCCTAGAATCTCTCCCCACCTCCAGCTCTACTTGCACAGCTGACAACATCATTTTCCCTTAGTTTAAAAAAGAATGAAATGGAATTTTCCAAAATGAACCATTACAAAGAACACTGAAGGGGGGAAAAAAGAACACAGAGAAAGTAGAGTTCTCAGAGACGCACGCTTTTCAGCCCAGACTCTTGCTGGCTTGTGGGTTATCAGCACACCAGCCCCCCCCCCACCCAAGCCCCGTTCCCAGCCTCAGCTGTGGGAATAGGAACCTGCTTCTGATCCTGGAGGATGCTGGGGAGCAGGCCAGAAGGGCCCCGGGGGAATGGGACATCCACAGTTCTCTAGGGACTGGACCCTGCTGATACTGAGGAAGGGCAAAGAGGAAACTGGAAAGCACTGCCTGCAGCAGGCTCCAGACCACAATGGTCAGGAAACTGTCCATCCTCCTCCCTGCCTTCTTCAGGCTGTGACATATTCTTTTTTTCTCACCAAGTCAGAGCTAAATGCAAACACTTTTCTGAGTGAGTTGGCTGTGACTTTTCTAGAGATCTGGGATATCTGAGGTCACCTTACCTAATGGACAAGAGAAAGGAAAGCAGAACTCAGTGGCTGCTTGAGGGTGGAGAGGCACCCTGGACATGCTCCTTAAGAGAAAGACAAACCCACAGCTGGGAGCCTCGTATCGCCCTCTACTGGCCCTCTCTGGTAGTCAGGGACTTACACACCAGGGTCCACCCAGGTCTGACCCACTCCTTGGACAACTTCATTATTAGATACAAGCTGAAAACGGCCTCCTAAACCAAGAGTGGCACATGCATTTGAATTTCTTCAATTCCAGGTTTGTTAGTTTAGATCTGGCTAGGAACTAAGGTCCACGTTTTTTATTTAAATGAGCATCCACGTAACAGTTCTGAGTCTTTCCTCTTTGTATTAACTTTGGCAATGTTGACTACTGACAGACTGTACAGCATGGAAAGAATCCAGTGTGGGAGTATTTTATGTGCTGCCACATATTCTGGAATACCTGCAGCTGCCCAGACCCGGGCTCCTACAGCAGGCATTGGTCCCCGTGCCTATACTCAGAGGAATTCTTCTCTCAGTCCCTGAAAGAACAACCTTATGTTCTACTTGTTTCTGGAATTCCTTCCCACGCAGGGCACAGATCAACAGAGATGGCTTCTTTTTTCGTTGGTACATGCTCGCTGTCATCATCAGCATGAGTTCCTGACCTCATGGGGCTTACACAAGCTCGATGCTCTATAAATGTTTGATGCGTTAGCCTGCACAAGATGGGAATCAAACAAGTGTTTGGTGAAGGAGCGAATGCATGAATGAGCCTCCAGTTTCCCCTCTCTACCTCAATAAAGCACGATTGTGGCTTTATTTCATCTTAATCAGCCTCCCCTTGCATCTCTGCATCATTGCCTCAAAAGCAGAGCAGACCTAAAGCTGCAGGGCCCTCATACCTCCATCCTGCAGTATTTCGTCCCACTCACTCTTTCTCCTCTCTCTTAGGTTTCTCCCACTCCAGCTGTGTACAATATGCCCCTAGTTCATTAAAGATCCATTAATTCTGCCTAATTTCAGGAGAGAAAGAATTGGAGTGAAGCAGAAAAGGTATATTTTAGGCAAAAAAAAAATGAAGGAAGAACAGAGATTCAGAGCCACACCAGCCCTGTCTCTCAGGAGCCAAGGCACATCCATTGCACATCTGCAGAAATTCAGCAACAGTAAGTCTTCCTAAGAAAAGGCAGAGGCACGGCTCCTTCCAGGGTGTTCTTCCCCAAACCTAGCTTTCTCCCCACAGCTGCCTAAACTGGCCATCTGGGAGAGGGTGCAAGGCTCTGGTAGCATGTTTGAATACAGATCATGCAGGTGGGCTTAGGTGGTATTAAAAAACAATACTTCATGCTGGGCAAGGTGGGTGCATGCCTGTAATCCCAGATACTTGGGAGGCTGGGGCAGAAGGAATCCAAGTTTGAGGACAGCCTAGACAATTTAGTGAGACCCTGTCTCAAAAAACAAAACAAAACAAACAACAAAAAAAAAAAAACAGAGAGGGTTGGAAATGTAGCCACTGGGTTCAATCCCCAGTACCACAAAAATAAAAACAAAACACTTCAACAAATGAGGTTAAATGACCTAATTGGCTGTGATTAGCAATTCACAAATTGGGGCAGCAATCTATCTAAACGCACTCTGAGGAGCTGAGTAGGGGAGCTGGGCTTTACAGGCAGAAAGAAAGGGCGGAAGAAAACAGAAACAGGGAACAAGATGGAGAATCGGTCATCTCAAAGTTCCTCTCCTGATAGGGCTAAAACTGAGGCGACTTCCTTAGATGCAAGTAAACTGGTCCCCTCCTGATCGGCCGCTGTGAATTTCTTGGATTTTGAAAAGTCGCCTATTTAAAGTCCAGTGTGATTACACGGCACCTGGCGTGAGGGCCTCCATTCTGGTTTGGGTGGTCCGTTGGGCCTGATGCTGGAGTTCAGTCCAAAACACTGACTTCCTTTAGGATCCACCCAGCAGTGGCGTTTTACCTGTTCCCTCAGTCCTCAGCCCACCCAGTTCCTCAAAACTGCACCCACTCCCCATAAAGCCCTGTGTCCTTCGCTCTGTGTCCCCAGCACCCAGCACCTAAGTAGATGCTCAACCTCCTCCCTGACTCTTAGCTCCCCCGCAGCCTGCTGGATGTCTCTCCTTCTTCAACAACTGTTCTGACTCCTTTCCAGCCTTCCTCCTCTTTCTCTCAACTCCGTTAGCACCCCTTCTTCTTTTTCCTTCTCTACCTCCCCCATGGGGGAGAAGCATGGCCCCATCCTGCCCTCAGAGACAGAGGATGGAATATGTGCAGCTTGGTGCACTCTCCTCCAAATTCTACAGGCCTGAATCTCTGCACCAAGTGGCTCCAGGTTAATGGTCAAGTTCAGGCACTGCACAGTTGTTTGGTCATGGTTAACACTTGCTCCTTCCCACCCCATCCCCTGCCTTTTCGCAGCCAGCAGTGGAGGTGGGCTACTACTGGTGGGGTGCAGGCTCCTCCACAAGGCAGATGGAGCTATTCCTCTGGCCTCTGCAAGCGCAGACTCCACCTGACTGGCTTCCCAGAAAGGCCCCAGGGAGGTGGAGTAGCAGCTCTGACTGCCAGCTGCTCTCTTAATTAAGGAATGCGGGGAGTGGCCCCTTTGAACTTACTAGCTAATTTGCTCCAGCGCACTCCCCCATGTGGCTGGGTAATTAATGTAGTGTGAACTAGTGATTAGCAGTAGTGGGAGAACCAGCCTGCCGCAGACTTAACCCTTCCCTGCATCTGGGCAGAAGCATCGCCTCTCTCCAGCTGTGGCACTGTTGGCTCAGGTTTTCCCTTTGGATGGGATATTTTAGAGACCTCACTCATCCTCCTTCCCCTCCGTTTCTACAAAACACCTGTTAAGGAAAGGGGCTCTGGGTGAGGGGAGAAGGGAGGGGACAGGTTAGGGGACCACAATGGACAAACAATTCTGCTAAGAGGGACAATGATTGCCTGCCGTCTCCTTGGAAGGAATTCAGGATCTCGCTCCAAGCTTGCCCCACTCTTGCATCCCTCCCAGTCTCTCCAGAATAATTCCATCCAGTTTGACAGATGCTTGGAAGGCATCCCCTCTTGGAAAGCCTGTCCTTGGAAATAGACAGGCTGCAGA